CTAACACTATTTATCACACCTGTCTCAGTTACTTTTCTATTGCCATGACAAAACACCATAACCAAGGCATGGCTTATAAAAGAAAGCATTCAATTTGGGGCTCATGGTTCCAGGGAGTTACAGTCCATGACCGTCATGACAGGGAGCATAGAAGCAGACCAGAGGAATAACAAACAAGTAGTAGCTGAGGGCTCACATCCTACCACAAGCCAAGGCAGACACAGAGAGCAAGCTGTCTCACTGGGAATGAGTAAAACCTCAAAGCCCATCCCAGTGACAGAATCCCTCCAACAAGGCCTAACTCCCAATCATTCCCAATCAGTTCCACCGGCTGGGGCCCAAGTATTCAAACATATAAGCCTATGGTAACCATTCTCACTCACACCAAAACACTGTCTGTGATTAAAAATCATTTAATCTGCTGGACAGTGGTGATGCACACCTTTAATCCCAGCACCCAGGAGGCAGAGGCAGGCAGATCTCTGAGTTCCAGGACAGACAGGGCTACACAGGGAAACCCTATCTCAAAAAAGCAAACAAAAAATCCTTTAATCTTGTTTTCAATTAGAAAGAAGATTTGATTTAAAATGATTAAAGGTCACTTGGAGGGCTGGAGTGATGACTCCAAAGGTTTAAAAGCACTGGCTGCTTTTGTAGGGGATCTGGATTCAATTTGCAGTACCAACATGGCAGCTAACAACTGCCATTCAAGTTCCAGGGAATCTGACACCTTCTTTTTGTTCTTGTATGTACTACACAAATATGGTACACAGACACACATGTAGGCAAAATATTCATGGTGTAGACAGGAGTTTCTGTCACACCTGGTCCTGCATCCATTTAGTCCGAAATCCCAAAGAAACTCACAGAAGTTTATATTAATTATAAAATGTTCAGCCTATTGCTCCGGCTTATTACTAACAAACTCTTACAACTCAAATTAACCCATAATTCTTATCTGCATTTAGCCACGGGGCTTGGTACCTTTTCTCAGTAAAGCATCTTTATATTGCTTTCTCTGTGTCTGGCTTGTGACTGCTTCTCTGTCTTCCCTTGTAGGGAGAGATCTGTACACACCTGTGGCACTGACCATGCCCGTTTGGGCGTGGCTACAGGTGCTTATGGGGTATGTGGGATAAAGAGCTGAGGAGAGGGGTGCTCCTCCTCTCATTGGCTTCCAGTCGGGTCTTGGAGGGCTGCTGAAACTAACCTGGGTCATTGATTCCTCATGTAAGTGATTTCCCCTTCATAAATTAACCATTATATCCATATTCCATGTATGTTTATTTTCCACCACATTTCCTCTTCTCAGAAATCTCCTATTCTGGTAGCCCACCTATACTTCCTGCCTGTCTACTGTCCAATCAGCGTTTTATTAAAGCAATATGAGTGACAAATCTTTACAGTGAACAAGAACATTATCCCACATCATCATGGACATAAAATCAAACTATAAACTTTTTAAAAAGTCACTTGATAATATCTGTGCACAAAATCTGCTGCATTACCAGGGAGATTATGTTGTCAGGGTGTGATGCAAAAGACAGTGATGTCACAAACCCCAAGAAGCAGCCTGAGGCAAACAATACACAGCAGGAACTGTAGCCAAAGAAACACTTTGGCCGTCCTCTGGCCATGAAAGTTCATATTTCTGTCCTATTCTTGTCCATTTGGACAATCAATTGTTTAGCTCCCAATGGAAACAATGAATCGTCTACTATTACTACTACTACCACCACAACCACCACCACCACCATCCGAAACACCCCCCCCCCCCCACCCACCTCCAATCCCAGAGGTACGAGCCTAAGCTTAATGTTTAAAATGTATTATCTGTTACATTATTCATCTGTCTTATTAAGAGTGGTAGATTAAGAAATATGCTGTTATAATGGCATTATTATCCATTATGAGGTAGTTCAGAATTCTGAGGATAATAGCTAATTTTTAAGTTCTAAGTAAAAATTCTAAACCTAAAGAATACAGTTACAGTCCCTTCTGACTTCCCTTTCACACTGAGTCGGCCAACCAAAGTAGAGAATATTATGTGAATAAATGTACTGGAGGACTGAAGGAGCATGAGTTTGTTTTGATTTGGGTTTGGCTGTTGGAGTCAGGTTCTTACTGTGTTGTTCTGACTTATTTCAAGTACCTGGCCTGAAATGACCCTTCGCCCTTAGCCTCTGAAGTGGTTGCTCCTAATATACCATTTACTTACTATGAACATGGCGTGTTGTTATCCTGTCCTGTTTCCTATCACATACATTCACATAGTAACACTCAACATCTTTTTGCAGTTGATAAAACTACTGAATCGACAGGAGCAGGAATGGACGATTTTAGGAAACGTCTACTTGGTTTCATAGTTGGAATTATGATCATAGCCTTCACCTTTACCTGTTTTTGTTTACTCCATTATAACTGTATGATTGAAGAGGTCCAGTCACCAGGAGGGTAAGTTTTATACATTTAAAAATGAAAAGTATGAGTATGTTGTTCATGTATTTGTGTGGATGTGTGTGGGGTAGTTGTGCACAGGTGTGCGTACACATGCAGAAACCAGAAGAGGATGTCAGGCGTGTCCTGCTCTATCATTTTCTGCCTTATTGCATTGATACAGGGCATGTCACCAGCAATCTTTCTGTCTCTACATTTGTGGGATACAGGCATGTGCTAAAATACACAGCTTTTTACATGGGTTTTCAGTGAAAGATCCACGAAAAGGAAGACAGACAAGGGGACAAGCAACTGAAAAATAGCCCAGGCTTTTGAAAACGATTTACTTTCTGTGTATGAGTATTTGTCTCCATATACAGATGTGTACCATGTGCATGCCGTGCCCATGGAGGTCAAAAGAGGCCATCAAATCCCTTGGAAATGGGAGTGAAAGCTGGTTGTGAGCCGTGTGGGTACCGTTAACTAAGGACAGGTTCTGTGAAAGAACGGCAAGTACTCTTAATCACTAAGCCATTTCTCCAGCCCCAGTAGTACAGGCTTTTATTTGGGGGATCCAAATAAAAATTGTCTTCTGGCCGCTACAGGCACCAAGCACATGCATGCTGCAAAACCATAGATGCAAGCAAAATGCCCATATACATCAAATTAACCTATTTTTTTAATTAAAAGAGTGAGAGGGTGGGAGGGGGTAGGATGAGGGGGAGGGGTGGAAGAAGGGGAGGGAGGGTGATCTGGGGTTGGTATGTAAAATGAAAATTTTTGAAGTAATAAAAAAGAGTAAGAGCTCACTGTCAGTTTACAGTTTGTAGTAGTTATGGGACACAAAATTGGGAAGGGGCTAATTGAAATTTTTCTTATAGCTAGGTATGGTGGTGCACACCTTTAATCCTAGCACTCAGGAGGCAGAGGCAGGCAGATCTCTGTGAGTTCCAGGCAAACCTGGTCTACAAAGCAAGTTCCAGGACGGCCAGAGCTACACACAAAGAAACCCTGTCTCAAAAAAAAACAAACAAAAAATCAACAAATGAATTCCTCTTATAACTTACAGTTGGTCAATGCCCAGGATAACCAGTGAGCTAGTTAAAGCCTGTTAGGTGATTAATAAACATCTTATTAGAGGTTGATGGAGAAAGGAAGGCAGGAATCTAGAGAAGGAAATTACTTTCATTCTAGAAATCTGATCACTGTTAGTTTCCAAAATTGTCACCGTTTAATCAAAATGTAGGAGGTTTGCAAAATGTCGTGACTAGTGATAACATTTCCTGACTTTTGATTATACAGGTGAAAAACAGGCAATAGTTGCCATTTTGTATCTTTTGATGGACATGGTCTATATCCTCCTAAGAGGTGATGTGGGGAAATCTTCAGTATAGTAAACTTTGGAAAAGGAATATGATGGAAAGGAGGGGTCCCTTTTCAATAGCCTGCAGAACTAATATCTGTTTAACTGCTGCACATTTTCCACTTGAGTTGAGACCCTAAACTCATTTAGAAGATGGACATCAAGTCACTCTGTGACTTTGGGATGAAATTAATGGTATATAAGGGTTGAGGGTCCCCACTCTTACTGACTTTCATACATTGGAGATTAATCAAGGGGACCAAGATAGATGGATATAGATGTTGCAGTATTGCCTGAGTGTGGATGGACAATGAGACAGTGGTGTTTGGCATGGTCTTAGTGCAGGTAACTACAGTTGATGAGATAATGATTAAAGTAGCTGCATCACTAAGTGTAGGGAATGGCCTTTCATGTTAGCCCTTCATCTTATCTTCCAGCCCTTAAATACTTCTGGTCACCTCTTCCACAATGTTCTCTGATTCTAAGAGGTGGTGGTATAAGTGGATTGCCTGGGGCTAGATCCACATCCAGGACTTATTTTATGTATTGTCTACTGTAGGAGATGTAAGGAGAGGCTTGTTTGATTAAGGATGAAGGTGCTTTTGTCTATGGGTATACACATAGGTATTTTAAAACAGTCTGCTGCAATATAAGTTTAGTTAACCATCACAAGTAAATTCCTCCTGTGGGCATACTACCTCCTCTACTTTAGTTGTTAGCCAAGCTTACTGGTCCCCTGCCCATACCCCCATACAGAGTATCTAGAATGCATTCAGAGAGCAGTTAGTTAGCTCCTGCTACTCCAACAGTAAAGCTGTTATTACATAGGTGGGTAGATCTAGCTTTTGTGATGATATTTTATTTGTGTTCTAACAAATCTGGCCTGCAGATCAGAAGGTAGAACTAGTGGCTAGCCACTAGAGATCTGGAGTTCTGTACAGACAGACAGGAATTGATAAGGTGAGGCAAAGATACAAGCTTGGCCCTTTTTGACTGAGAAGTTGGCAAGGTAAGAGGTGACTGTGGCTTGCTCCTTTGTCTCTCCAAGATCTCAGCATTTACCCCAATATCTGGTTCCAGGTCATCATCATCATCATCATCATCATCATCATCATTATTATTATTTTGATTTTTCCAGAAAGGGTTTCTCTGTAGCTTTGCAGCGTGTTCTGGCACTCACTCTGGAGACCAGGCTGGCCTCGAACTCACAGAGATCCGCCTGCCTCTGCCTCCCGAGTGCTGGGATTAAAGGTGTGTGCCACCACTGCCTGACTTCAGGTTTTATTATTAAGACCAATTAGAGCAGGTGTAACAAGCTTTCCAAAGGTTTCTTTCTACTCCCTTTATTGCAGTTAATCCTGCTCCATCCCATGCCTTCATCTCCCCATTTCCCCTCTCTCCAGCTCCCTGTCTAAACATTTTCACTAAGAGTCTCTCCTCCTTTATGTTCATACTCTACGACCCTCCCTCCCTAAGGCACCATGCCCCCTCCCGCAACACACACACACACACACACACACACACACACACACACACACTTGTTTTTTTTGTTTCCTCTTCTACACAGGTACTCCGCTAAATAGAATGCGCCAAAGCTAGGATCGTCAGATGAGAAAGAACTAGTGCAATTTGTCCCTTTTATCCTGACTTACGCTTGTATAGATCCACTCACTTCTCTCATAAATTTAATTTTTTATATTGAAGTAATATTCTATTATAAATATGCACCACATCTTTATTATTATTGACAACTTTGTGCCATCCCATACATTATAAGTTATCTAATGTTTTTGAAGTAGTAAAAATATTCTTTAAGAAACATTATTTGAGTTCATATGTGTAACATGAGTTAGAGCTGTCAGCACATTCTAATTGTTACTGTGTTTACTTTTACTATGGAAAAACATCCATACTCTAAACTAGCATTATATTTTCTAATGATAGCAATAGTACTTTGGTTTTAAAATATGACATCCCCAAGTTTTCTGCATTTCAGGCTCAACAAAGAAAATATGGCTGCTATATCTTCCTGGGTATCCAAGGTATCAGCTTGTCAACCTGATGTGATAACTGAGGACATTCTTGAAACTCAGCCTCTGCTATTAAATTCAGACCAGGCATGTGGGCCTCCAAGTCAAGAAAAACAACCTATACCAAACAGTGAAGTAAAATCAACTCAGCCTTCAAGTCTAGAAAAGCCATGCACACCACCCAATGCACAGAAAACAATGAGATACTCAAATACAGATAAGTCATCCACACCAGGTAGTACAAAAAAGTTGGGCAGGCATGTAGGTTCAAAAAGGTCAAGTAAGTCATCAAGCCCCCAACGATTACATAAGTCATCTCACCAGGATAAGTCACATAAGAAACGCAGCCTTAAAAAATCATATAAGCTCACCCATGCCTGTAAATTAACTAGTCAAGCCAATTCATCCTCTTCAGAGTCACAAACCATACCATCTTGGCTAGCTATTCTGCAAACTTCATCTGTGCTAACCACAGAATCTTGTTCATCAGCCTCACTTAATCAAGTCTTGCTCACCAAACCAACCAGAATAAAGAAGCCAAACCAGTCACGTGTATACCATGATCTAAAAAAGCCAGGGAATAGAGGAAAGGTTATGTTACACAAGTATCCAGCAGCCAAAACTTGCCGACATTATAATGAAAAATGCCTCATTTGTAATACTCCTGAATTTCTTCTCAATGATCTTTGGGAGCCCAAGAAGGAAGAACATGCTGGACTTCTTCAAGTTTCAAGGAAAATGAAGTCCTCTCCCAAGCCATTTTCCGAAACAGATTACTCGTACAGTGAAACAGAGTACTATTCTTATCAAGATGAGAGTAATGATACTATGAAAACATATGATACTGAAGACAGTGATGCAGAGATAGTCATTATTTGTGACACAAGTAATAACGAGGATGACATGACTAGAAGTAACTCAAATTATTAAAGACTTAAAACAATTTAGTCTACATCCAGGATATCCACATGTGATCACCATCAAGAATGGACCTATATATCTTGAAAGTAATTAAATGCATGCCATAACAAATTATTGTTGTATTTATCATTGCATCTCATTGGCAAAAGATTCATTTGGTGTATCTATCATATTTATATGTGGTCACTTAGATGGGAACCATTCATGTACATAAAAATCTTGAAAGAAATTTTAAGATAGATATTCTGAACTGCTCTTTCCCCTGAATTAGCTCTCAATGAAGGGACCAATTTGACCTTATTTACATAGCTGTTTTTCAGTGCTGAGGAGTAAACCCAGAGTATCCTGTACGCTACCCAAGTGGTCTACCAATGAACTTTGTTATCACTTGGAAATGTATTTTAATGTATTTATTTTTATTATTACTTTATTGTACAAGTGTTTTGCCTCCATATATGCCTGTGCACCACTTGTGAGCCTGGTGCCAAGGAAGAGAGATGCCCTTGAAGTGGAGGTACAGACAGTTATGAGCTGCCATGTAAATGCTGAGAATAGAAACTGGATCCCTTGAGAGAGCTCTTATCCACTGAGCCATCTCTTCAGCCCCTGAAAAATTATTCTTAAATTTTTATTTTCAGAGTTGGGGATCAAACACAGGACTTTGAATACTAGGCAAATCTTTCACCATAGAACTATACTCCCAGCATCTGAAGTCATTTTACGTTGGGGGTGAGATATGTGGTACTGGCAATGGAATCTAGAACCTTGCACATGCCAGGCAAACTTCTGCCACTGAGCAATATCCCCAGCTTTATTTTTTAATATTTATGTGGAAAATGCATGGTTTAAGACTGTGTCTTTCTCTATAGGACATAGTACTTGTTGGAAATTGCTCTATACTATGGACTGAATGCTTCTATTTGCCCCAAATTCCTGTGGTTGAGACCTAATGCTGTATAGTATGGTTAGAGAGTTGTTGGATGGTAGTGCAGTCATAAAAATAGTGCACATCATGAGTGGCATTCGTACCTTTATTAGGAGCTGAAGAGGGTACCTCTGCCCTGTGAGACACAGCAAAAAGTTCCCATCCATGAACTATAGAGCTGGCCCTCACTAGACATCTGCTGCTACCTTAAGTTTGTACTTCTCATACTTCAGAACCATGAGGAATAAATTTGCTGCTTACAAGACACTCGGTTTATGTATGGACTCCAAACTGACTAAGATTCTCAATACTTCTTGCTTCTTAATGACTTAGAAAAATTCCTAACAACCAGTTCTAAGAATATCAACTCCTCTAGAGATTGCCACCATGGAGGGCCCAACCTACAGCACACATTCTTGGAACTCAAAGAACTCTAAGTGTTGTAATTAAGTCACAACTAACTTACTGCAAATAGTAATGGCAAGGGGCCCATGGTGCAAACTACACATTGATTATAAATATTACAATGAAAACACATGCTGAGAGGTCCAAAGGAAGGCTAGGACCAAAACAGTAAAGTTGAGGGCTGGAGAAATGGCTCAGCAGTTAAAAGTACTGAACTACTTTATCAAAAGACCCAGATTTAATTCCCAACACCCACATGACTACTCAACATGGTCTTTAACTCCAATTCCAAGGGATATAACTCCCTCTTCTGGCCTTTACCAGTTTCTGCACATATGTGACATCCACAAACTCATGCAGGCAAGCACATATACATATAATTTTAAGTAGATCTTTTAAAAGAAGAACTGTAAAATTGGGAACACTAAAAAAAACAAAAGGGCTTGCATCTGGGTATAAGAACACCAAACAGATGGGAGAAAAGATGGGTTTTTGAGCCAGTGTTAGTAGGACTGCTGGTTCCCCTAAGTCCTATTCCCCAAGGAATGTATGCTAGACACTATTGCCTTTTCACACATTATTGCTTCTGATGCAGCTAATTGTAACAGTAAATCATGGGTGGAAAGTATCCATACATTTCAGGAAAGAAACTCCCAGATTGCTCTGTGAGCAAGTTCTTAAATATTAAATAGCCAAGAACAACTGCAGTTACAACTTGGTAGCTGTGATTAGGGCTATCTCTATGGTAAAGCTATAAGCTGACCACAAAAGTGTGAGAACAAAGAGAGCATGGTATAGTGCATAAGTATCAAGATATCAGAAAAGATGATGACTAGTGGGCAAATGACTATCTGTAGGGAGACACCTTAACCATGCTCCTAAGGCGTGGTCAAGGTGAGGTCAGAGTGACTGGGCATGGGCTCTTAAGAACCACGAGCACATGGAATGGTCTCTTCCCCTTCGGCTGCCCCTTCTCTCTGGCCTCCCTGCCTTGCTGCCCCTGGGCACGCTCTGGCTTGCGTTTGGCTGGTATTTATCTGGATAAAGGTATCTTTAAACCACGCACTGTTTATCTTAAACTTTTTAAATGTGGATGCCAATGAGCAATCTGCTGAAGACAGATTCTGGCATGAAGGAACTCGAGCGAATCTTGCTCAGGTCAAATGGAGAACTCAATAGAGGGGACCAGACCCTGTAATTATTTGGGGTCGAGGGCATGTCTGTGTTTTCTCAAAGGTGGAGAACGAGGCATACTAGCTGCTGGAGTGCTCGATGAGATGCATGGAGCAGAAAGGAATTGGACCTGAGGCCTTGGGAATCTGAACCAGCTGGAGTGAAACACTGAACCTGTGTTCCTGAACTTTGAGGACATCCGACCTACGGCCAGAGGAAGAAAGGAGACACACCCAGTTCCAGTTTTGAGATGCTTTCCAGAGTCCCAGCTTCTCTACAGACGGACTACATCCACCTCTCTGAATCCGTGAGTACTCATCCAGGAGCAGACTAAGAACTGGACAACAAACAGCTTGCCTTCTTGCCACATCTAGACACACAAAACTGTTTTGCCAGTTTTCCCATTGGGAAAAAGGACCCATTTAGGACAGTCGGATACTGGCATAAACCAGAATGAGTGGCAGAAGCCCTTACACAATACTTAAATGAGATATGGTCGAAAGACTTTTCAGCTAACATTCAACGATTATGTATGATGTTACAAGCCTGATTTCAGAACTTTACATATTTCAAAATGTTGGACTTTAAGCAAGAAATAGAAAGTTTCAGAGGACATTGAGTCCCAGGCAGGGAATAAAGGAAAAAACGTTTAGAATTGTAAAATTGTTCACACCCCACAGATCGTGAGAATATCTTATTGTCTTTTGATTGTATTATAACTCTCCCTAATGTATGTTCGTGATGAAATTGTTAATGTCTGTAACCTTGCTATATATGTTATGCAAATGTTATAAGAAACTAGAAGTCAAAGTTCATTCTAACAGGAATGTAACATGTAATTTACAAGCCTTAGGATAGAAGTATGTTTTAGGGAGTAAACTTAATAAGGTCTGTATCAGAGGCACTAGAGGTATTCCCATGCAGATTTTAAAAGGGCATTTTAACCTTTATATGTCTCCACCCTGCAGGAGAACCTTTGCAGCCGTGAAAGCTCAGGTGCTACCTCCCAGAGGATTCTTTCTGATTCAGGAACACTTGGGAGCTGGACCATTGCCCATTCCCCACTAATCTTATTTGTTTTACAGAGACTGGTTCCAGCCAGAGATGGGTACGGTTTTCCTTGCCTTCAGGGAATCCTAAGACAGAACACGCATGATGGAATACGTGATTCCATGACGGGCACCCCTGCTAGGTTGAAGGGAACCTCCAAAGACAGGTGCGGTCATCTGTCCCAGTGCAGAGGCACAGGTTTCTTTTTATTAATTTAAGAAAGAGGTATTGTCAAGGACCAAATAGCAAATAGTTCCCTTATGGAATGCCAAAAGGTCCAGCCTCCAGCTTCAGTAAACAGGAGCACTCAAAAGCCCCAGCCCACTATTATATTGCTAATGCTAGCAGGTCTGCTATTGTTTACCATAGCCTCAGTATAGAATGCCTCCTAGTTTGCATCTCTACAGGCCTAAGTATCTGAATAGGTCTGCACCTGGGTGGACGTGCTAGGTGTGTGAGTAACAAGTGAGAACAGAGAGTTAGGTGCCAGCTAGTAGAGAAGAGTCAACAGAAGGACAGAAATGGCATCCTTGCAGCCATAGAAGTATGGTTAAGAAACAGCCAAGAAGGTGCTAAATAAACAAGAGACTCTAGTTTTGCAGCATGGAACTCAGAGCACTCTAAAGATGACAAGATGCCTGTGTTTGGTCTTTATCGCCGCTGGGTTGCTAGGAGTTTCCAAGCCCAGGCTCCCCCACTCAGGCAGAACCTCACGGATGTTGTGGCTTGGAGCCCAGACCGGCCAGGCCATGACAACTTTTCATAGAAAAAAAAATGGGCTATTGCTTAAGACACATTCTCACTGTATAGTTCACACTGGCCTGGAACTTCCCATGTAGCCCCAGCTAACCTGGAACTCCTAATCATCCTGCCTCAGCCTCTTGTGTGCTAGGATTAGTTGGCTTGGCTACTTTTAAAATATTGCATTGAAACCAGACGGAGGCAGGGGCAGGTGGATCTCTGTGATCATATCCTTCCCCTTTCCCAAGTACTTCCAGATCCTCTCCCCATCACTACCCACCTAACTCTAAGTTATTTCTTAAAAAATATAACAAACATGGTATGTACTCACTCATAAGTGGATATTAGATGTAGGGGAAGCTGCAGCCACGCCTGCTTAGGGGCTGGCTACGGGTGTGCCTGACAACACCTGCGAGGGCATGGCCAGGGTGACATAGAGTGAGAGTTGGTCAGGTGGCTGGTTTCTGGTTTCAGTTTCCCTTTCAGCTTGCTGGATAGACTGCTGCCATGCCGGCTGGCTAGGTTGCTCTGTAAGTAAGGCTTTGCCCCATTAAAATCCCTTGTATTTCTACCTGGCTCCGTATTGGTAATTTCCCGCCATATCTGGTGTCAGGAGTGGGATCTTGGCCCCATTTGGAACAGCCTGCGGGTCCCACTGGGACTGCGGGCCTAGGCCAGGCAAGTGCCCTCTCTCCACAGGTGCTCTCAGCTTGCA